GACACAAGTATTTTCTATTTATACTTTTCATTTGAATGCATTTAGTTGCACTTTCTGTGATTGTGTCTTAGACATCTGAACTGCAGTCAGAAAAAGGATTTAGCATCAAGTAAAAGCTGCTATTAAATATATTATCTAATTGGGATCTTATCCAACAACACAATTTTTCATGAATACTCCCCAATATTGTTCAATTCCATGGAATGAGGATAGCTCTTAGCCTCTATTGTATAACATCAACATAATGAAGTCTAAACAAAGATCCAACGTATAACACCACTATAATGAGATCCAAACAAGACATTGTGTATCCAGTTGTAAAGAATATTTATTTCTATAATAATTCTTATTTTTCTAAGGAAAAAAAATCATTGAAATTTGCCAACCACTATCACAACGATTCTTGGTAATTATGCAAATTTGACTGCCTTTATTATAGTAGTATATTTGGTTCACTAAGCACCACCCATTTATTTCATTTGACATTTTTTGTTATATGTACCAATACTTGCAACTTACATGCCTTTCTCCAGTAGGATTTTTTAATTTATTTGCTTGCATATAATTGCTGGAAGAGTGTGGCTGCACCAGAAATTACACGAGAGGATATTTATACTGATTCTAGTTTGCAATGTGCATACATCATATTTTTGTTTGCAGTATCTACATGTGATAGTTGTTGGCTTTGCATTTTCTGATTAAGACTTTGAACCTTTGTGGATATTTAATTAGACTTCTAGAAGTTATTAGTTTCGGATCCTCTTTATCAAACATTTGTTTTGATTACAGATATTCTGTGCTTTATTACTATATGTTGCATTGTCATGGTAGGTTTAATTGAAGTTTCAAATAAGTATGATTTGTAAAAGTTCTGGAATTTCAAATCCATTATTTTGTTGAACGCTTCTGTGTTGTAGTAATCCAACATTTCAATGATTCTGCTTCAGAATTCTGTAAATGCGCGTTATGATACAATTCCCTTCCCATGGCTGGTATTCGGCGAGAAAGTGAAGGTCAACACGGTTTTCTTACGAGATTCCACTGGCATATCTGATTCGATGCTGATTCTTTTTGGTGGAGCAGTGAAATGTGGTGTACAGGTGATCTATCCTGGGTCTGCACTTTTTGTGAAAGATTTTCATTTTTCTGGTGTCTAAGACCATTCACATCTCCTTTTCAGGCTGGTCATTTGAAAATGTTGAATGGCTACATTGAATTCTTTATGGATTCTAGTTTGGCGGAATGCTATTTGCAACTCAAAGAAGAACTTGATAAGCTTATTGAAAACAAAGTAAGTTTCATTTGAGAATCATTTCCGCTATTAGATCTAATTATATCATCACAAGTATGGAATTCATATCTCAACCGCTAGTACTATTCAACAGATAATGACATATGATTCCGCTGGTCAATCTTTCTACTCCTTATGCTGCAAGTCAGTTCACCAGTGGCACTAATGTTTTGAGAAGTAATGCATGTTAAAATTTTACCGATTACTACATAGTTTGTCCATAAATTGCTACCAAGAAAATTACTGGAAAGCATGGAGATCTTCATTTTATGGTGAAGTTTATAATGAAAATGGTCAAAAAGTCAATGCTCCTTCGTTTGGGTAAAGTTTATTCCTACTTCTGTGTCGTGGCCCTAGTTTATTATCTGAACATATTGTTTGATTAGGATATTAGTTCAAAGATAAATCCTGCTCCCCAGTTTTAGAAAAGGTAAGTTAATTTGAGGTTGTGTCATTTCAGCTTCAGAATCCGGGGCTCGATATTCTCAAGGAAGGCAAGTATCTTGTTCTTTCTGTTCAAGAGTTGGTGTCCGGTGACCAATGTGAAGGGAGATTTGTCTTCGGTCGGGAAAGTAGGAAGCAAGTGTCTACCGACGACAAATTCACAAGGGATGGCTCCAACCCAAAGAGCTTGCTACAAACCTTGCTAATGAGGGCAGGACATTCTCCTCCAAAATACAAAACCAAACACCTCAAAACAAATGAGTTCAGGGCGCTGGTAGAGTTTAAGGGAATGCAATTTGTCGGGAAGCCTAAGAAAAACAAGCAGCTTGCAGAGAGGGATGCTGCCATAGAGGCTCTAGCTTGGTTGACACACACCTCTGACAACAACACTAATTCAGACGACGACTCTCCTATTGATGTAACTGATAACATGCTAAAACTCCTTGGCAAACGAAGGCGGTCTAAAGGTCGCCCTGGTTATTGACATGATAAGAGAGAAGCAAATTGTTCTCCAGTTGCAAGTTCTAGTCTCCTTCAACTAGCAGCAGACGGATTTGCTTCAACTTAAGTGTCTAAAAGTTCCTACTGAGCTTGCCTGTTGTATGTGCATAAGGACTCACAGAACTTTGACTCCGTGCTGCTGAGTAAGAGAACGAGATATGGTCTTTGAGGTAATATGCAGAACAAGCTTACATAGGCATGGAAGCATGATATCCTGATAACTTATTTATAGCATTGATGGAGCTGGTGTATAGCTCTCAAAATTTAGGAGACTGAGTGAGCTAGGATAGATGTGTTTATTTGGGACTTTGTCTGGTTTTATGTATGATTAAATATTCTCCCTCCCCAAGCTGCCACCCTGTGTAACATATTTGAGTTTTGATATATAGGCTGGTTTAACAACATAATACTAAAATTGCAATTTTTATGTTCCTCAAGCTGGATAAATTCTCGATACATTCTCTATAGCTTAATGATATTGTTTCGGGATAATCCTTTATTTATTTACTACTAATCAATTAAGAATTTTTAGATGTACTAGTACTACCATAGAAATTATGCCGAAATTGAGTTGAATATACTACCTTTAATTTATATCGGAACCTTACTCTTAACCCGATTAATGAAAAAAAGAGTTAAATTCAAAATATCACCCCAAAAAAAACCAAAAATGTTTCAATAAGCGCACACCAATCTTTTATTTTTTATATAATTCATTCAGTATGTGGAGATTAATTATTGGTGAAAAAATAGGCATAAAGTTGGTGGGTGTTGGATTCTTCACAAAGGGAAAGGATTTATGCATTCACAATTGATTCACAGAATAATCAATATGATGTAACCCTTCAAACTCAGATTTAAAGCTGAAAATAGTGTTTTTATAATATTCTAAAATTTAAAATATTATATATGGAGGGAGAATATTAACCCTAATTTTTACTCTAAATTTAAATTTTAGAAAAAAAATTAGTTTTTTCCTAAAAGCTTAATTTCATCTCATTAAATTGTAATTAACTTATTTTTTCTATTCTAAGAAAGTTACTACCTACCTAACATCCTCATTATTATCCTCATTATTATTAAGGTGAAAATATTCATTTAAAATATTTCTAAATTTAAGTAAATGTAATAATTTTTATTATTCATTTGCTAATTTTAATAACCAGAAAGTAAATACTTTATTTATAAATGTTGGTGTTACATTAACACTTATAAAAAAAATTTATTCTCGATTTTAAGATAAATATTCGATCGAAAAAAGGAAACTTAGCGATGATCTTTGAGTGGAACCCCATTAGGGATTAGATTAAAGTGAAGTAAAAGCTTGGATTCTTTTTGTTAACTCTAAAGTGTATATATTTCTTTATGTTTTTATAATAATAATAATAAACCTAAACTCAACTTTGGAATCTTTTCATTGTTCCAAAAGTTTTCAAATTAATATTCCATTTGATCTTCTTACATAGTATATATATAATTAAAATTACGAATTATTAAATAAATAATTTTTTTTAGGTCGAGTCAACAATACTTTAAAATTACACTAAATTTTTTCGTCTACTATTTAAATCTTATTTTAAAAGGTCTTCACAATTATCACGAGACAAAATGAATTAAAAATTAATTATTTAAAAAGTTTTGATGGGTGAAAAATATTATTATTTTAATTTAATTTTATAAATTCAAATTTGGTTGGATTTTTAATATATATTTTTAAAATTAATTTGAATTTTGTAGCTAACTATGTTATGCTTATGTAATGCTTGGTATTATTATGTTTTAATATCTATTTAAAGCGCACATTATAAACGTAATACCATATACTAATTTAAAGAATTAAAATATATTCTCATCAAATCTAAAAAGTGAATAATTATTTGATATTAATATAATTAAACCATTTTTACCACTCAAATTATTATTATTATTATTATTATTATTATTAAAGTTGGCCTATAATTCGAGTTGGAGGGAACCAAACTTTATATTAAAATAATAATAATAATAATAATAAAAGAAAAAGTGCTTAAGCATTTATACCTTTTTTTATTTACATTATTTAATTTTTTCTGTAAATATTCTGATTTAAAGAGAAAATTTGTTGATTTTCAATTGCAAATTTTAGAAATTAAATGTTCCATTTAGGGTTCTCAAAATGAATTTGAATAATTAGATTATTTTTTATTAAAATATTGTATTTATGTAACAAATAATTTGTTTTTAAAAAAATGTTTATTAGAAAAATATTTTAATAAATGTTAGAATTAATAAATAGTAGAACTAGAATGAAAATAATAATAATTTTTCTATAGATGAAGTAAAAATAAATAATAGCGAGTGTTAACATAATGGTTTGAGAAGTCTGATATTCGAGGAAGATTTTGAAATGGCAACTCAATTGTTAATGATGTCGCTCAACATGCTCGATGCACCAACATTTTAAGATTTGGACTGATAGCTACCCACCTAAGATTAGGTGTTCATAGGGTAGAGTCGGTGAAGCCTTTCTGATCTTGCTTCGACATGCTCGATGTACCAACATTTTAAGAATTGGACCGATAACTACCCACCTAAGATTGGAGGTGTTCATAGGGTAGAGTCGGGGAGGCCTTCTCTGCCGTAGCCGTGATCATCCTTCCAATTTTTTATTTTTATTTTTATAAAAGTATTATTAAAAACTTTCTAAAATCATTATTTAAAGAGAAAATCGAATGAAAATTATTTTCTAGTTTTTTTTAGTATAATAAATAAATATGAAATGAAGTATGGGGTAAAAAGTATTGGAATAAAAATTAACTTCTACAGCGAAGTAAAAAGTAAAAAAAAAAAAAAAAAAAAAAAAAAAAA